AGAGTCATTTGATGAAGACACCATTTTGGAGTGTGTGCCCCATGGTGTCTAATTTGATAAACCACTAAAAAGCCCTGGGTGTGGAAACAGCAGGAGTCATTTTGTTGTTAGCGCTGTCATCATTTTCAGAAATGTCTCAACCAAAATTGTGATATGGAATTGTGATATGGCAGTCTACCTTTTTTAATGTAACAGCTTTATTGAGCTCTGTCTTATTTCATTCGATATACCCATGCTTCTTAGTGTATTCACTGTTTTTTAACTGTACTACAGTCACTTTTACAACATTTTCATCACCGCCCCCCCAAAAAAAATCCCGCACCCCTTAGCCATCACTTCCCATTTCCTCCAGCACCTCCAGCTCTCTAGTCAGCGATGAATCTGCTTTCTGTTTCTATGGATTAATCTCTTTTGGACATTTCACATTTATGTAATCACACTTTCCTTGAGTGACTAGTTCTGTTCACCAAGCTTGTATTTTCAGTATAAGCATGAATCTTCACTTCATTCCTGTTTATGAATGAATAGCACCCCAATTTGCAGCCATACCTCATTTTGTGTTTCTGTTCCATTGAAGGACATTTAGGTTATTTCCACATTTCAGCTGTTATGAGTCACACTGCCACAGCCATTTGTCTATACATTTTTGTGTGGAAATGTGTTTTCTCTTGGGTTTATACGTAGGAGTAGATTTTCTCAGTCTGTGTCAAACTTTGAGGAACTGCCAGATTTGTTCCAAAACGGCTGTACAATTTTACATTTCTACCAGCAGTATATGAGGGTTCCAACTTCTCCAGCCCCCACCAGCACTTGTGGTATCTTTGATGATCGCCATCTTAGTGAGTGTGAAGTGATATCTCATTGTGCTTTTGATTTGCATCTTCCTGATGGCGACTGACTTTGAATCATCTTTCATGTGCTGTGTTAGCCGTTTGTATATCCTCTTTTGGAAAATGTCTGTGGAGATCTGTTGCCCATTTTAAAATTGGATTATTTCTGTTTTTATTATTGAGTTCTAAGTGTTACTATATATTCTAGATACAAGTTAGCTATTTGGTGGAGGTGTAGTCACTAGTTTGTGACTTTGTGACCCATTGGATTGTAGCCCGTCAGACTTGTCTGTCCATGGGATTTCCCAGGCAAGAATATTGGAGCGGCGTTGCCATTTGCTTCTCCAGGGGGGTCTTCCTGACCCAAGGATCAAATTTGGGTCTCCTGCATTACAAGTGGTCTCCTGCATTGCAGGTGGATTCTTTAGCAACTGAGCCACCAGGAAAGCCCTTTCTTATTAAGTATATGATTGGCAAACCTTTTCTCCCATTCTCTGTAGTTACAGCTGTCTGTCTGAAAACCTTCTTCTTCAGGGTGTGACATCTTCTAGGCCCTTTTCCCATCTGAGTCAGCTCCTCTTTGCATTCATTTATTATGAGCACTGAGCACAGTATATTGATACTATCATTTTAGGATTTCCTTCCCCACCCAGCGAAGCTGCGTCAAACACGTTTTTGTAATTCTGGCGCCTAGGACCCTGCCTTACACAAAATAGAAGCTCAGTAACAGTTCGGTCAACTATAATAAATTAACATGAAACTTGGACCTGAGGGGGAAAGCATCCGGTCAGTACTAATTCAAGAAAGCTAATAGCCCCTTGTGGTCTCATCACAGGATTGGTAGGGCTTCCCTGGTAGCTCGGATAGCAAAGAATCTGCCTGCAATGCAGGAGAACCCGGGGTTTGATCCCTGGGTCAGAAAGATGCCGTGGAAAAGGGAGTGGCTACCCACTCCAGTGTTCTTGCCTGGAGAATTCCACGGACAGAGGAGCCTGGCAGGCTACAGTCCACGGGGTTGCAAAGAATCAGACTCGACTGAGCGACTAATACTTCACTTCAGGGCCCAGTGCTCCACAGGCTTCTTTGATCTGTTCTAAGCAGTGAACCAAGATTAATATGACCAGCATTTGTTTTATTCATTTGTTTAAAAATCTTTAATATATGGTGCTGTAATCAGTGAGCACCATATCTGATAAGGTCACATTAATAGAGGCACAGCACATATGCAGGAAGGTGACCTGCCGAATTGTGTTGCTTAACATCTCTGATCTGATGGGATGTATCCAAAGGTTTTCCCTTCCTAACTGGAGAGTTCTTATGTTAGTACTTATATCATGATTTTTTTTTCCCTTGTGACCTTTTCCTCATTTGTCAAACTTTTCTAAATTAAAAGTAATCAGTCATGTTTTTCTTCTCTAATTTTTGGCACGTACTTTTTCTCTAGTTTCTGTCCTTCCAGTTTTTTGCTATTGAAAATGTTGCCAGTGTACTTTATTGACCAGAAAATGACAGATAACGTGAAGAAACAGTTACTCCCTGCAAAATGAGGTTGGGATTTTAACTGTTTAAAATAGGATCGTCCTTCTCAAAACTCCCTAACTCTTGATTTTAAACACTGAAGGAGACAAACAAGAGAAAAATCTAAGAATGAGATCCAAGAAGGAAGCCCATATAATTTTGTGTGCTTCTGGTGAGATTCGTACTCTCACCTACTTTTATTTCTTTTTTGGCACCAGGACAGCTTTAAAAAACAAAACAGAACTAGTTGACAGCTTAAGATGATTGATTTTTTTTTTTTTTTTGAGCTAGCACAGCAAGATGAGCTAAAATTACTTCATCATAAAAGACTTGCTAGGATTCTTGAATGAGAAATACTCCCTCCCTTGATTTTTTTTCTTTATGAAATAAAACTAGGTCTGTATTTGTGGAGGAAAGAGTTTAGCAGACATGCTGATTATAATACTGTATTGAAAAACACTTTTCTTTGATTGACTAAAATTCAGCTGCTGTTTGTAGTAGTTAAAAACCTGTAATCTGTCTTCATTTTGGTGTTCACCACGCTTCTGTGAGATGAATAATAGGGTCCCCCAATCTCCAAGTGGAAAAACCAAGAGAGGACACTTGAGAAATGCTTTCCTATCTTCTCCCAGGACTACTCCAAAAGCGGGCTGCTGGGACATGACCTAATTGAGAGCTGAGACCTTGTTTCATAGTTACTGTATCTTTTTTGCCAGGATATAGGATCATAGTTACTGTATCTTCTTTGCCAGGATATCAGCAGGCACACTCTTAAAACATGTTGCGTGGGTGAAAGTCAGGCAGAAGCATTCTATTAAGATTCATCTGATGGACAGACCTGGGTTAGAGTTCCTGAAGGTGCTACTTACTAGCTGAAGTCTCTCGATGAAGGATGTTATCTCATTAAACCTCAGTTTCTTCTTTGCAAAATGAGGATAATATTAGCACCTACTTCACTAGACTGTAGAACAGTAAGTATTCAATTATTATTAGCTATTAGTGAGTTGAGTAGATTTCCTGATTCCTCATTCAGAATTGGATTAGCCTGCTTACACAGGGTCAAGTATGTGCATTTGCATTGTCAGCTCAGTTACTGAAGAATAGGGTGCAATTGAGGAGGTGTTGTTTGGACATTGATTGCTACTAAATCCACTGAATTCGATTCAGCCCTCACTTTTAGGGAATATACACTGACACTGGGAAAGATGAAATAAAGAAGTTTTCCAGTATGAATATTCTTGTCTTTGGAGGTTAGCCCTGAGTCTCAGAACAAAAACAAGTCAGTAGTTATTAGTTACTGTATCTCCTTTTCCAAAACACACATGGTTCATTGTTACAGTCATTTGCAGATAGTTTTGTATGACACCCTTTTGCTCTTGTGTTTCTACTAAATCACTAAATGACTAACGTTCGTGTTCCTAATATTTGTCAAAGGATTCTCTTCAGGATTATATATGTGGTAAAGCTTAGTTAGTTGGGACAATGTGGAAAATGTGAAAAGCCAAGTGAAGAGTCTCGATCTTGTGATCAAAATAATGAAGCAGAATCCAGGGATTACCCCATAATGAGTGGATTATTTGGATATAGAAAGAAATTATTTTTAGGCGTGGCACTACTATAAACCCTACAGCTATGTGTCTTACAAACTAGAAATTTATGCACTAAATAAAAATTACCAGATGTCAGTGTTTGTATGTGCCAGCTGGCAAAGTTGAGAAGGTTCAGAATTCTGGAAGAAATGGTGCTCACTTCTTTGCCATTTAAACTCAAAAAAGATAGTTGAGGTGAAACGCTGTTTAAAAAACTACAATGTCCTCAGCTACCCAAAGATGTCATATGTTACAAATTGTTATCTGAAAGCCTTTAATTTTTTCCCCCTCAAGACTCCAGGCATGTTTGTGGTGTTGCAAATGTAATCCATGTTTCTAATCTAATTTATTACTTTCTTTACTGAGGCTTAGCTCATTCTTTTAAAGGGTCAGCAGATATCTTTTTTTTAAAACTTTGTATTTTTTATTGGGATATAGATGATTAACGGGCTTCCGCAGTGACTCAGACTGTAAAGAATCCGCCTGCAATGCAGGAGACCTGGGTTCAATCCCAGTGTTGGGAAGATCCCCTGGAGGAGGGCATGGCAACCCACTCCAGTATTCTTGCCTGGGAAATCCCATGGACAGAGGAGCCTGGCAGGCACAGTCCCTAGGGTTACAAAGAGTCAGCCAGGGCTGAGCGACGAAGCACTTAGCCAATCAACAGTGTTGTGATATTTTAAGGCAAACAGCAAAGGGACTCAACCAATCACATACATATATCCATCCTCCAACTCCCCTCCCCTCCTGGCTGCCATATAATATTGAGCAGAGTTCCATGTGCTCTACAGTAGGTCCTTGTTGCTTATCCATTTTAAATATAGCTGTGTATACATGTCCATCACAAACTCCCTATCCCTTCCCCTGATCTTTCCCCCCTGGCAACCATAAGTTCGTAAGCAGATATCTTTATTTAAAGACCCAGCCTGAACACAGCAGCCTCAGAAAGGTCCGGTGCAGAGCTAAATGTATGATAGGATTCAGTATTTTTATCTTGCACATACCAGAACACTTCAGTTATTTTCATGAAATCATCAAATGGGTTCTCTTCTTCTCTCCTTAGAAATTCGAGCTCAACTGGTAGAACAACAGAAATGCCTGGAGCAGCAGACAGAGATGAGAGTTCAGCTTCTGCAGGACCTGCAAGATTTCTTCCGGAAAAAAGCTGAAATTGAGACAGATTATTCTCGGAACCTCGAAAAGTTGGCAGAAAGATTCATGGCCAAAACAAGAAGCACTAAGGATCATCAACAGTACAAGTAAGAGAGACTCGACTCACACTCATCTTTCCAAGAGAATATCCTGTCTTCTATACAGTCCATGGAATTCTCCAGGCCAGAATACTGGAGTGGGTAGCCTTTCCCTCCTCCAGGGGATCTTCCCAACCCAGGGATTGAACCCCGGTCTCTTGCATTGCAGGTAGATTCTTTACCAGCTGAGCCACAAGGGAAGCCCTTTATTGGTTTTAGAATTTTCCACTTTTTGTCTGAAACATTGTTGATTGATATATCCCCGTAGATAAAAGCAACCTTCTGCATTTATAATTTATGAACATAAGTGTATTACATATTAAACTAATAGTATTCTCTTGATGTGTTTCTCTTTCCAATAAATACACTAGGAGTTGATGGCTAACACAGGTAGATATTTGGTTTTGTTTGTTTTTGTGATTCAAGCCAATTTTTTTCTAACTGGAATATAAATGCTTTAGAATGTTGTGATAGTTTTTCCTATACAGCAAAATGAATCAGCCACCGATATACATACAGCCCCTCTTCTTTGGATTTCCTTCCCGTTTAGGTTACCAGGGAGCACTTAGACTTCCCTGTGCTATACAGTAGGTTCTTGTTAGATATCCGTTTTATACATAGCATCAATAGTGTATATATGCCAATCCCAATCTCCCAATCCATCCCACACCCTCTTCCCCTTGGTATCCATGTTTGTTGCCTACATCTGTGACTCTAATTCTGCTTTGCAAATAAGTTCATCTGTACCATTTTTCTAGATTCCACATATATGTGTTAATGTACGACATTTGTTTTTTCTCTTCCTGACTTCACTCTAACACTGGCAGATAGATATTTGGATAGGCAAATTTTAAACAGCTGATTCTTCATGCAGAGAGCTCAGGATTTTTGTAGTGATCTTACATGAAAATAACCAATGAGGGTTGCTTAAATTTACATTCTCCTACCCCATCCCTGTAGTATTTGTGGTCGTTGTTGCAGTAGAGACTGACTTAAAACGAGGGCCTTTGATAAAATGCTGATGATCTAGCTTAATTGACAGTTGACCCTTGAACAACCACAAGGGTTAGGTTGCCAACCCCCTGCGCAGTCAAAAGTCAGTTTACTGTTATCTCTGCCTCAAAAACAAAGGAATTGGTAAATGACTCGCCCAAAGGCAGGAAGCAGAACAGTTATGGATAGATTCAGGCTCAGACCCAAGTTCTACATATTGTGATCTCTCATTGAACAGAAACTATTCCCTGTACCTAGTTAATTTAAAGATGATATAAAATGAAAATACAGCTATGACATTTATTGAAAAAAATCTGCGTGTAAGGAGACCTGCACAGTTCCAACCTGAGTTGTTCAGGGGTCAATTGTACTTCATTTGTTTAAACAAAATACATGCAAATTTTTCTGATAATGAGATTTACTTTAGAATTTAAATCCGGAGACAAGTCGGCAAACAACTCCAACAGAGTATACAGGTGGTCTGAAAGACGTCAGTGCGAGCTACCAGAGAGACCAGATGGCAGTCCATTCTGTCGTGGAGGTGGGGTCGGGAAGGGCCAGGCAAGGTCCTGGAAGAAATGATATGTAAGTGAAGACCTGAAGGACTTGTTAGCCAGGTGAGGGCCCAGAGCAGGACATTCAAGCAAAGGGAACATCGCGCATAAGGGGCCAGAGGGAAGGGGTGCAGGGCAGTTTTGCAGAGCAGGAAGCAATCCAGTGGGAGTGAGTAATGAGGTCGTGAGCCACGTGGCTCCCCATGTACGTTGTGCCTGATCACAGGGGCCTGTAGACCACACCAGGAAGTCTGGACTTTATCCTCCGGGCTTGAGAAGCCTTTGTAGAGGCTTTTAAAGTTGAAGGATGACCAGCATCTTGAAGGATGACCTGCATCTTGAAATGAAAACTGTAGATAGGATTGTGGGCTGGAGGAGGACGTGGTCATAGTCTGGAGGGAGACCAGGCAGAAGGCCTTCACCATGATGGCATGAACTAGCCACACTGCAGGTAGAAATAGAATCGTTTAGGAGATGTTAAAAAGGCAGCCCAGTCTTTCATTTCTGGAAAAACAACTAGATAATATGAGAAATATTTCTGCTACAAAACTCCTGGAAGTGCTGACAAAAGTATAATAGACATCATTGTAAATCTATAACTGAACTCACAGGAAAGTAGGGGAAATTTCCAGTGGCCCAGAAAGAAAAAGGGAACTGAAAACGAGTGATGATTGTATCCCATATGGGAACAGAAGAGGAGGCCTGTGCAAAGTAGGGAGCTGGACGTGAGGACTTGCTCATCACCATCCTATGGCACAGGATCCCAGCCCAAAGTCAAGCAGCAGAACTGCTGTCTCAGTGAAATAGTGGAGCAGAACATGACATGGATGAGGCAAATGGATATTTAGGGAGTCTGGAATGGACATGTACACACTGCTATACTTAAACTGGATAACCAGTAGGGACCTATTGTAGAGCAGAGGGAACTCTGCCCAATTTTATGTGGCAGTCTGGATGGGAGGGGAGTTTGAGGGGGAAATGGATACATGGATACATGTATTTCTATGTCCCTTTGCTGTTCACTTGAAACTGTCATAACATTGTTAATCACTTTGGCAGTTCTACTCTTGGGTATATATCCAAAAAAACAAAAACACTAATTTGAAAAGATACATGCATCCCAATTATTTACAACTGCCAAGAAATGAAAACAACCTATGTCCATGAGGATAAAGCAGCTGTGTTCACACAATGGGATACTACTCAGTCATAAAAAAAGAATGAAGTATTTCCATTTGCGGCAACATGGATGGACTTAGAGTGTATTATGCTAAGTGAAATAAGTCAGACAGATGCTGTATGATAAATGGCGACAAATACTGTATGATATCACTTATATGTGGAATCTAAAAAACACAACAAACTAGTGAAGATAATAAGGAAGAAGCAGATTCACACACATAGATGACAAATTAGTGATTACCAGTGGGGAGAAGGACAACATGAGGATAGGAGATAAAAATGTACGAAGTATTATGTATTTTAAAAGTTATAAAGATATATTGTATAACATGGAATATAGCCAATATTTTATAGTAACTATAAATGGAGTATAACCTTTTAAAATTGTGAATCACTAATATATACCTTTACACCTGTAACTTACATAATATTGTAAGTGTATACCTGTAACTTACATAATATTGCACATCAACTCTATTTCAATAAAAAAAACTTTTTTAACTCTTCTCATCATAAGAAAAAAAAAAAGTAGGAACTTTTGCGGAAAAAAACAGTAGGGGTTCTTTTGCAGAAGCAAATGCAGCACTATTCTGGATCAGGAATACCTTTTTTAGTTTTTATTTTGTGCTCACTTTAACCCGTAGTGTTGGTCCAGCAGAGAAATAAATCCTGATGATGGTTCCCAGGGTGAGCAGATGTCACATGTGCTTGACAGAGACTGGAGCCAGTACTAGATCTGCATTTATAGAAACTGTCCCTTTTTAAAAGTAATTGCAAATAAGAGGACAGCCCATTGGTTTATACAGTAAATATTTTTGAGTGTCTGCTTGTGTGTTCTGTACTTGGGAATCAACTTGTGAACTGAAAACAAGCACGGGTGTATGCACTTTAGTCTAATCCCTGAGTGCATCAGCTGCCACTTTTTCTTTCTCCTGGTTGGTTCACTAGTTTTCTTAAAAAGGTACGAGGCTTGGGATTTTCCTTAAGTTTATTATTGACTACGGGACTGCAGATAAGAAGTCTACAGAAAGGACAAACCAGGTTTGGGGGACAAAAGCCAAAGACAAGCTTTAAGAAAGAGTCAAACAGACCTGGCTTGAATACTAGCTCTGCTGTGTGACCTTGGTCAGTCGAGTCAGTATTTCTGAGCCTTGGTTTCCTAACTTGTAAAATGAGATTTTGTGACCATCAGATGAAACATGACACATCCTTGATGTGACTGAGAGCTGACATCAGGTACACATTCAATATTCCTTCTCCTCACGAAACAAATGTTACATCTTTGGCATTGTTACTTTACCAGTCATTTAAGCTAGGCTGAGGAGTCTAGCTCTTACTCAGTTTTGGGATGCTTGTGCTGTAGGATAATCCTTGGCCTGAACTGACCGCTGCATGGTGGAAACACCAAGGCTTGGATCAGCCTCCATGGACTCAAAGACTTTCTCCGATACTAGTTTTGTTCTTGAGCAAATCACTGTGCCTTGCTAAAGCTTAAGTTCCCTCGTTGATAGAGGGGATCTATCTAAATATCTCTGCCTTAAATTGTGGAATTAAGTAGTTACTGTGTATAGGTTTTAGACCGACTGCTGGATAAAAATCACTAACTTTATATAGTATAGCGTTAGTCACCCAGTTGTGTTTGACTCAGAGTGGGTTGCCATTTCCTTCTCCAGGAGATCTTCCCAACCCAGGGATTGAACCTGGGTCTCCCGCATTGGAGGCAGATGCTTTACCGTCTGAGCCCCCAGGGAAGTCCCAGTAGGTGCTCAGTAAATGATAACTTAGCCGCCTCTGATGTTGTTGTCAATACCGTTATTACTTACTATTAGGACCATAAAAAATGTTCAGTGAATGAAAAAACATGTATTTAATGCTGAACATGGGCAGGGCCATGAGGATACAAAAAAAGTATGCCACATTCTCAAAGAATGTATGATTTACTTCAGCATAAAGAGTATATAGGTAAGTTAATGTAAGGTAGCATTTACCTTTTGGGCTGGATGGTAGAGAATGTCAGTACAAAGAGTTCAGTATTCTTTCTGCCATGGAACCTCTGCCCCATGCCCAATGGCTTTGGAGGGAAAAGAAGGTTCTCTGGGTTGGGGCGTAATTCTTATTACGCCAGCTAGGAGAATGGAAGTCTTCTCTTGTGGTTATGAGTGCTAGGACCCTAGATCAGGGGTTTCTACCCTTACACCATTCCTACTTCCTCTTTCTTCTAAAGAGAGTTTTGACTTGATGCACTCTTAAATCCTGACTCTGAGGGAATTAAGGACTGAAAGACCTGATTTAATCATTTCTTTTCTAATTTAGTTAATACTCAGAATCATAAATCATCATGACTAGTAGGAGGATAACATGTTTTAGAAAATTGAACTAGTGTCTCTAAGTTAGGATAAACATTCTGTGCCATTTTGCCATTTTAGAGTTAGGTTTTTTTTTTTTTTTAATTTAATTATTTTTTTTATTTTGGCCATGCCACACGTCATGTAGGATCTTAGTTCCCTGACCAGGGATCAAACCCACAATCCATGCTTTGGAAATACAGAGTCTTAACCACTGGACAGTCAGGGAAATTCCAATAGTTAGATTTTTTAAGTAAAAAGCAAAAAACAAACATCATATGTATATTTTTTAAAGCTGTAATGTCTCTGTTAGTCATTGCTTTTCTTTGGAGTTTTTTGGTAAGATTTTTTGCAAGTTGCCTTTTGTGGTTTATATTCACTTTTCACTTTATTATCTAGAATAAAACAAGGAAATAGCTTAATGAGCTTTAAAAAGACATGTGACAAGTCATAAGCCAGTGAACCTCTTGGTTCTATTCATGAGTCTTGAGACAATACTATAAAGTTCTGTTTCCCAGGAACACTTTTTGGGAGGGTGGAGGTTAAGTATCAGGGGATTAGTAAATCATTTTCACATTTGTGTCCCATGAAAAGTATACCTAGCCAAATCTCTTCCAGCAGCACACTGGACATTCAAAGCAGGCTTTGTGTTCAGTGGCAAACCGCAGCCTGTGAGATGGTAGTCAGTAGATTTTTATGTAAACGTAAACGGCTTTCTTCAATGAGGTGGTTAAAGCTGAAGGCCTGCCTGAGTACTGTGAGTGCGTTCGGGTTCTGGGCCCTTGTCAGGAGTGTAGCTTTTGACTGGTGTTCCTGGTCCAAGTATTTTTTTCCGAGCCCAGGGCTGTCGAGTGTCTTGCTAAGAGCTACGCCCAGAGGAGAAGAAACAAGAGCCGCCCGTGTGTAGCGGCTCCTGATGTTGCCTCGGTGACTTCCCCCAGCTGTTTGGAGCAGCTTTGAACTTGATTCTAATTCTCTTTTCTTCACTTCTTAGGAAAGACCAGAACTTGTTGTCTCCAGTGAACTGCTGGTATTTGCTCCTGAACCAAGTGAGGCGAGAAAGCAAAGACCACGCCACCTTGAGTGACATCTATCTGAACAATGTGATTATGCGGTTCATGCAGATAAGTGAGGATTCCACCAGGATGTTTAAAAAGGTACCTTCCATCTGTCCCACCAGAGTGTGCTTCCCTATGCCCACTGAGCCCGTAACCAAGACTGGGTAGGGTCTGGTGCCTTAAATACTTAGTGGTATTCAGTAGAGATTAGGTTCAAAAAATAAATAAGCAAAGAGATATTTTGGATTTCCTTGGTGGCTCAGACAGTAAAGACTCTGCCTGCAGTGTGGGAGACCTGGCTTCGATCCCTGGGTTGGGAAGATCCCCTGGAGGAGGGCATGGCAACCCACTCTAGTATTCTTGCCTGGAGAATCCCATGGACAGAGGAGCCTGGCAGGCTACAGTCCATGGGGTCAGAAAGGGTCAGACATGACTGAGCGACTAACATACACACATACACACCACAGATATTTTAAAGACACAGAATAAAAAGTTGAGCAGGCACACTCGTAGAGTTGTAAGGCACCACATCTGTGACCTGAAGGATGTAAGCAGAATTTTGAAATGAGATATACTTGCCAATTGCACCTCTGTCTTTAGGAACAGACTTCCTGAGGTTATTAAAAAACAGACCAGAGAGGAAAAACCTTAAGAACTGGGTTTTAGGCTCACACATGATCAGAGACTTGTGAAGAAGAAGATAACCAGATGTGGTGCTCTCTTGGGAAAACACTATCACGGTTTTTCTCACTCCCAGCAGGCTAGCAATGGAGGCTGTGAGAGACTGACAAGAAAAAAAATTCCACGGGGCATGGAAATTCAGTCCCTTACATGGCAGAGAGGTTCCTCCTTCCCAAATCCGCTTAAAAAAAAAAGGAGCTGGGTTTTTAAGACTTCTTATCATTGTTACCCGTCTTAGCCAACTCTCAGCAGTTTGTTGTTGCTGTTACTGTTTGGACATTTTGTTGAGAGCATTAACAAAATTGGACCATTTCCTGTGTAGAGAAGGCAGCTACTTGCCCAAGAAAACTGACTTTCAGTTTTTATGTTTATAGGACAGTGGTTCTCTCCCACATCCTAAGCATCATACTTGGGGTGTTTGGTGTCTATACTAATATCTGTACCTCTATTCAGTAAGTCTTAGTTTCAGAAAGTTGGGGGGAAAGCACCTTGTAGATTAAAAGTATATTTATGTCTCAAAGGACAGCGATATAGTGCTGTGCAGGCCAGCTGGGAAACTTCTTAGTCATGTTTGATATCTCCTCATTAGATTTGATTCCCAACCTAGAACTGGAATTTAGCAAACTTGAAGTTGTCTTTTGCTCTGTTAAATAGAGGGAAGCATGTTTCAAACAAAGGAGAAATTTTTTGAAATTTAGAAATAAGAGCCTATTAAGAAAACAGAGAAATATCTTGTGTATCTTAAAACAGAGGTTTTAAAAAAATAGTTTGGACTGACCCAGGAAAGTGAAGTAATTTTCTGGGATGCCAGTCCTTTCTGCTAAGTCTTCATTTGGCTCAGTGGGCTTTTTGGATCTTATCGTCTATGAGTGGGAGATGGTGTCAGGTCTTGGAAAGGCTACTTCAGTAAAGAAAAACTAGTCTTCATGCTCAAGGAGGTCATAGTTTATCCAAATTTGTATGATGCTGTATAATGCTTCCAAGTCACAGGGATGCTGGCAACCTTTCAGTCCGGGCCTCTGGGACCAGCAACTCAGCTGAGTTCATTTATTCATCCATTCTACAAAGCATCTTTAAATGCCAGGCTGGGAAGCAGAGTTATAAGACATTCCTGCCTGCACAAAGTCACTTAAAAAAATTAACAGTCACTACGATTAGGGAACATACAACCTGCTCTAGAAACTTGAAGGATAGAGATCTTAACCTTACTCTGTGTGTGTGTGTGTGTGCGTGCGCGCACGCGCGTGTGTGCACACATGTGCTCAGTTGTGTCCTACTATTTGCGACCCCATGGAATATAGCCAGCCAGGCTCCTCTATCCATGGAATTCTCCAGGCAAGAATACCAAAGTGTGTTGCCATTCCCTTCTCCAGGGAGTCTTCCCAACCCAGGGGCCGAACCCACATCTCTTGCATCTCCAGGATTGCAGGAGGATTCTTTACCACTGAGCCCCCTGGGAACCCCTAACCTTCCTGAGGGGCCAGGAAATACTTCACGGTGGAGGAAACCCCTGCAGACAAACCAGCAGGAGAAGGCGATGGTCATCAAGCAGATGAGGACAGTGAACTGTTCCAGGGAAAGCAGAAGCATGACATGTTCAGGAAGAGGAAAGAGTTTGGTGAGAGATTGTATGGGAGTGAGATGTGTGAGGCTAGAAAGGACGTGCGTGCACAGGCTGGGAAGCAGAGTTATAAGACATTCCTGCCTGCACAAAATCACTTAAAAAAATTAACAGTCACTACGATTAGGGAACATACAACCTGCTCTAGAAACTTGAAGGATAGAGATCTTAACCTTACTCTGTGTGTGTGTGTGTGCACGCGCACGCGCGTGTGTGCACATATGTGCTCAGTTGTGTCCTACTATTTGCGACCCCATGGAATATAGCCAGCCAGGCTCCTCTGTCCATGGAATTCTCCAGGCAAGAATACCAAAGTGTGTTGCCATTCCCTTCTCCAGGGAGTCTTCCCAACCCAGGGGCCGAACCCACATCTCTTGCATCTCCAGGATTGCAGGAGGATTCTTTACCACTGAGCCACCTGGGAATCCCTAACCTTCCTGAGGGGCCAGGAAATTCTTCACGGTGGAGGAAACCCCTGCAGAAAAACCAGCAGGAGGAGGAGATGGTCATCAAGCAGATGAGGACAGTGAACTGTTCCAGGGAAAGCAGAAGCATGACATGTTCAGGAAGAGGAAAGAGTTTGGTGAGAGATTGTATGGGAGTGAGATGTGTGAGGCTAGAAAGGACGTGCGTGCGTGCTAAGTCGCTTCTATTGCATCCGATTCTTTGTGACTCTATGGACCATAGCCCACCAGGCTCCTGTCCATGGATTCTCCAGGCAAGACTACTGAAGTGGGTTACTCTGCCCTCCTCCAGGGGATCTTCCTGACCCAGGGATTGGATCCAGGTCTCTTACATCTTTCATGTTGGCGGGCACGTTCTTTACCACTAGCTCCACTTGGCATGTCTTGCTAAGCTGTAAGTCTTTGTGTTTTGTAAATCAAAGTCAAGGGCTTCTTAAAGTTGATGGAAACGCAGAGCTGAGAGTCAAATGGATCTGGGCTTGAATCCCAACTTTTGTGCTTTTGTGATCTTGGGAGATGATTCAAGAAAGTGCACTCCTCTATCTCCAGGAGTGGGGAGGACTGGGGACTGGCAGAGGGAAAGGGAGCCAGTGGGTGCTCAGAGGTTGGGCTGGCCCTTTGGAGTTTGTCACCAAGGAGGCCTTATGTTTCTTTTGCAGACATTACATCTGAGCTGTCCCTGGGGAGGGGCTAAGTGATCTTGGGGATGAGGCGGCTCCCACTGCTGGAGGGTAATTCCCAGCAGAGATTCCAAGAGCGAGATCAGCCTTGAGTTTCATCAGCCAGCAGCCAGTATTCCCAGCAGCTAGGGGAATATAGCTCTTGAGAGAGGGTCTGAGGAATGTACAGTAAACACACACACACACACACAATGCCTGCCCGTTTGCTGCCTAGAGGTCCTCTTCTTATCCAGATTTTCTGGGACTCATACTCCTTAGAAGCTGCCTTTTTATAGCAGACTCCTGGTTGCTTCAGCATATAGTAGAGTGAACAGTCTTCTCACCTCTATTGCCCATCAGCTGGAAAGTTAACTGTCATTACAATGACAGGTGTCAAATTCTAGCTCCTCAAGCAAACCCAGCATATGACATACCTCACCTTTCCATGTATATTCTTGCTTAAAAAATTAAGAACAAGAGAGGGAGAGACCGGAAAGTCTTGAGGAGCCAGATCAGCCCACTAGGACACATTTGTCATCTGCAAATGTAGGAAGGTAGGGAGCCAAGACCCATATCTGTCAAGTCTAGAGAACTTCATATCCCTTTAGGTTAAAAACCAAAACTAGTATTTTCTGCTTTTTTAAAATTGCCAAGCCATCTCCTTCTCCAGCTCTTCTATTACTATGGTTCCAGAAGCATACTTTTTTGTCAGAATAGAAGGAAGTGATCAGAACCAGTCTGAAATAACCTTTAGAACTTCTGTGAAGTCCTTAGCATAATGCTTGTTCTTCTTTCAGGGGATTTTGCGACTTCCTCATTTTTCAAAAATAACCCCACATCTATATGGAGATCCAGATAGATGCTCAGTGCTTGATAGATGCAGCCTTGTAAGAGGCTGTATTGTTGATCAGAATAACATAGTGATTCATTTCTAAGGCTCTAACATCAGATATTTGGGATATGAATGTGGATTGTATCTCTCTTGTTATCTACATTGACTTGGAAGTGTTGGTAAACCTCTTAAGTCTCAGTTTCTATGTCTGTAAAGTACTGTATAGTCACTTATTTCAGATACTTGTATGGAAAAAGTCATGACTTGTGCATGGAAAGCTACTTACCCCAGTGTCTGAATTTAATACTAATACAGTCTAACTAATTTTTAGCTGTTATCTTTGTTATTATCTTTATTGTAAACACTTATTCCCTACACCTACAATAATTATGTAATATGAGCTTACACCAGACATTATCCTAAATGTGTCCCCATTTTAAAGAGACTATGTAACACAACTGTGATGACCACGTCCAGATCATCACATGTTATTTGTGTATCACTTTTTATCAAGTTCCAAAACATATTTCTAAGCAGACTGAGAAAAGCTCCAATATCCTTGCTTGTAGCCGAATTAAAATTTTGGTCCTTGCATTTCAATAGTTAACCGGAAGTTAGGGATAACCCAGTGAATACCTGTGTTGGCGAGCACCCCTGTGCCTCTCAAGTCCCCAACTGCTATTTCACTTGGGCAGGTTTTTTTTTTTTTTTAATATTTGTTTACTTGGCTGCATCAGGTCTTGGATCTTAGTCGTGGCAAACAGAAACTTTTGTTGCAGCATTCAGACCCTGGAGCGGTTGGTGGGGGGGAGGGGTTAGTTGGCTATGGTGCTGGGGATTAG